TTTCCCAGTCTCCCTCAGTTTTGTTCAATAAAGACAGATTCCATTTTTGAACACAATTGTCCTTTATTTTGTACATCAATAAGAAGGGGGGCTAGGGAAGGTTAAGTGGAAGGAGGTGAGGGAGAAATGGGGTACGAGCCCCCGATGGGGAAGACTGGGCTGGCTCTGCGGGCTTATGGGGGTGGAAGCTCTCCTGCAGCCCCCCGATTGCCCCCTCTCCCCAGATGGCAGCCTGAAGCAAGTGCAGCCGGGCTGATGGCCGAGTGGTGTGATGTGCCCAGTGTGGGTACTCCGGGCAATCCCAGCCATCCTCCTCTTATGCCCTGCCGGCACTGCTTCCGGCCATCCTTAAGCCCTGTTCAGAGTCCACTCAATGTGGACTTGCTAGTTCGAATTAGCAAAACGCTAATTCGAACTAGTTTTTAGTTCTAGACGCGTTAGTTCGAATTAGCTTAGTTCGAATTAACTAATTCGAACTAAGTTAGTTCGAATTAGCGCTGTAGTGTAGATGTACCCTAAGAGCCCAGCCCTGCCAACATCTAGTATGTGAATAATTATACCATAGGACTAGTACTTATGTAGCCAAAGTAAGTCACATGTATTAATGTTGGTAAGGCTGTGCCTAAAAAATTAATCCAGAGCCCAATGAAGTTGATGCTTAGACTCATATTAATTTCAGTGGCCTTTGTACCAGTCCATAAATTTGAACCCATACCTGTGTATATTCAGATTTAGAGTTATTGTCAACATAAGGAGTTGGTTGTGCCAGGAAAATGGGATGTGCCTGGAATAGGATTGCTTCTCATAAAACCAAACAGAAAAAAGAATAATCAAATCAAGTACAGTCCTCACAATTGACATAATTCAGCCAATATTGAAGGAGACTGAATGAGAGGTAAAAGTAAGCCAGCGTGCACCAGGGTGCACTGCTCCAGTAAGGAGCCAGCTGACTGGGGTGGTCGGCTGCAGGAGAAGGTGGTGCACACTCCCAACCTCGCTCTTAGGGCTCCGGTACAAGCTGCCACACTAAGGAGAAAGTTAAAGGGGCTGGGTGGGGGCCCTCCTGCCCCCGTCCAGGACTGCCCCAGCTCTGAGCTGCCCAGCATAGGTATAATTTAGGGAGAACATATGGGGACGTCAGATTCGTACGGGGATGTTGCTGGCTGTTCATCTTCATCACTGTCACAGAGCAAAGGAAAAGTGCGCAGTTTGCTGCATTCCTTTCATTCTGGCTGGGGAGGGCAGGGGGCAGATGAGCTGTGCACTTTGCTCTTGCTTCCTGACAGGGACAGGAAGGGAAGAGCAAGCAGCTTTTGACCCCTTCCCTCCCCGCACAACCAACTCCCTGCCCTGAGCCCCCCACACTCCAGCCCCCTGCGGTCTAATTTCTGCACCACTCCACCCCCCACCCCCTATCCTGAGCTTCTCCTCACCCCCCAACCCTGACTTCTACAGTTCCCACACCCTCAACCTCCTGCCTTGACTCCTGCTCCCATCCATATATATCCTAATTCCGTGCCCTGAATCCCTCTCACACCTTGCCCCAGCCATGTAAGAAATTTAAATTACTTTCACCCCTGGTCGGAGTCAAGTTAAGCTGGAAAAATAGGATGAACCTGATATCAGATTACTTCTAAATAAATCTTACAGAAAAGAGAGAAAATGGAAACATTTGGAATAAAGCACTGTTTTGGCACAGCTAAATTGATGCTTAAGTTTTGAAAACTAGAAAAACGTTATTTGAAACCAAAATGACTATAGTCCTTCTTTGTTAAAACATAGCAAAAGATAGGAAAAAATATGCTTGATGGAATTCCCTTTTTAAAACATTTACTAAAAACATTAAATGGAAAGTTTTAACTGCTTTTTTTAAGAAATCCAAAATAAAAATTAACTTCATAAAAATAACACTGTATTTTTAAAAGTACAATCATTTAAATAAAGCATGTACATTTTCCTTTTATTTAAAAAGACCCCTGAATTAAGGTATGGATCTGAGCAATGCTGGTTAAATATTGTAGTATATTATACAACAAAGTCCATTCAGATTCCCAGGATATATAAAATGATTACTTCTGTGTACCATTTGCATTTTCAAAACAGAACCCCTTTTTGTGTTTTTCTTCAAAATACATCCTTATGACCCCAGGAAGTTAAGAGTGTGTTGCAATGTTACTGAAAGGCAAAGATACTGCAAGTTTTGTTCTTGTTACCCTAAAAGTTACATGCAGATTTTATTAGGAAAATTCATTCACCTGGCCTGCAGCCATCATTTCCTCCCGGCTGGTAATTTATCCTCAGGAAATGTCTTTTGTTGTAAATTATCACTATGTTGATATTATAATGTGATAAATTATCCGAAGTTTGATATCTCAATTGAACATGCAGGTTTTCTGTCATGGGCAAGCTTACTGCCTCAACACACCAAAATCAATGACGTGATTTGAGGCACCTGCAGTTCTGTGCCTCCAATCATGAACTCAGTGGATTTACCAGTGTAAATGCTAGCAGAATGTGGCCCTTTTAAAACCTTCCTGCCAATGGTAAACATTCTGAAGGCATGCTGTACTGATAGTTACATCTTGTTATCCAGAAATCATAAGCCACCACATCAGAGGCTCATAAAATTGCACATGCTCGTGATATATACCATCGAGTTCTAGCAGTGCCCCTTTGCCATGTATAGTGGTCAAACTGGACAATCTCTATGACAAAGGATTAATGGATAGGACACAAAAACAGTGCTTTTTTGTGACAGTACGCACCGGTATGGCACACTGGCACCTTTTTTTGGGAGCACTCGCACCACACCGCTTTCCCCCTACCTCGGTACAGCCCCCTGCTGGGCCTGAGCACTCTCACCGCGCCGCTTTCCCCCAGCACAGCCCCCTGCTGGCCTTGGGAGCACTCGCACCCACCGCTTTACCCCTGCACAGCCCCCAGCCTGCCTGACTCCTTCAGGATCAGCAAGATGAAAAATGTGCTTTTTGCTTATGCGCATGACACAGGAAGAAGGGTGGGAGAGGCATTTTCCAAATTTACTTTCCTCAAGCAATGAGTACTGGCACTTTTTTTTTTTTAAACAAAAAGCTACTGCACAAAACAGATATTCAAAATGGTAACACACAGAAACATAAGAACATAAGAACGGCCGTACTGGGTCAGATCAAAGGTCCATCTAACCCAGTAGCTATGGTTAGCATCAGGTGCCCCAGAGAGGGTGGGCCGAAGACAATGATCAAGCGATTTGTCTCCTGCCATCCTTCTCCAGCCTCTGACAAACAGAGGCCTGGGACACCATTTCTATCCCCTGGCTAATAGTCTTTTATGGATCTAACCTCAACGCCAAGATCTCTTTCCTGATTTGTCATAGCCAAATTAGCCCCCATCATGCTATACGTATAGTTGGGGTTATTTTTCCCAATGTGCATTACTTTACACTTATCCACATTACATTTCATTTGACATTTTGCAACCTGTAGGGGAACATTTTAATCTGCACTGGGCACTCATTAATAGAATTGAAAGTAGCCATTCTCCTACAAAGGAATTTCATGATTACACAGAGAGAGTGGAGAACTGACCTCCATTTGCAAATGTGACATCATCTCCTTTGGCCTGAACAAAGACTTGAACT